AGATAGTTCGGATTAGGCTTCCTAATCCGAACTATCTGTACGCCTCATGGAACGAGGTGTACAGATAGTTCGGATTAGGAAGCCTAGTTCGAACTATCTAGCCCGTGCCGTGTGTAGCCGCGCGGCACGGGGTTCGCACTAGCCGGCTTTTTAAAATGGCGGCGCCGGCTTTATGCTAATGAAGCCCGGGAAATTCAAATCCCGGGCTTCATTAGCAAGTTCGGTATGCATACATTACCCCCCTAGTTCGAACTAGTGGGGTAGTGTAGACATACCCTGTGAGTGGTCTAAAGGTTCATTCTCCATAACTCAATTCAATTTTTGGCCTTTCAGCTAATATTACTAACAAGGAAACCAGCCCAAACCAGTGAGGATAGTGGTTTTCAGAACTGAGCCTCCCCTTTCACAGGGAAATGAAATGAGACTGGCACCTGTATTCAACAGGGCATGTCTGAATAAGCAAAGGGCCAGTGGGAACAGCTGAGTTATGTATTTAAATATCCTTCTCCCACCTGATGATCTAATGATTCAGAACCATAAAACTGGGCATTTTCAGCCTAGGCAAAGAGGGTAGCACTGTTACCCTCATCCTCCTTTCCTCATTATTTGCTATGCTTACTTGTTACTACTTATACTAAAATAAGCGATTTGGGGGCACTGACAGTTCATGCCATGCAAACAGCACAACAAGCTCTGATTCCAGAGTGAAGCCTTTGAGGGCTACTGAAATTAAGTGGCCAGTAAAGATTCTCTTCTGAATTATTTCTCACTTCCCACAGATCCTCTGGACCTTCTCCATCTACCTGGAATCAGTGGCCATCCTTCCTCAGCTCTTCATGATCAGTAAGACAGGAGAGGCAGAGACCATCACGACCCACTACCTCTTCTTCCTGGGTCTCTATCGTGCACTCTACCTTGCGAACTGGATCTGGCGCTACCACACTGAGAACTTCTATGACCAGATAGCGGTGGTTTCTGGGGTGGTACAGACCATCTTCTACTGTGATTTCTTCTATCTCTATGTCACCAAAGGTAGGTAGGGAGTTGAACTGAGGGTGAAAGCAGGAAGGGGTAAATGCTGCTTAACTCTACAAGCAGGCTAGGATGGAGATGGAAGCTAGCCATGTGATCATCTGCATAAAAACATTACTCACCTAGTAACTTTAGTCCTTTGAGATGTGGCATTCATGTCCATTCCAGTTCAGGTGTGAGCATGTGCGCACGCAGTAGCTGGAAGATTTTTCTCCTAGCAGTATCCGGTCAGTTGGTCCTGGTGCCCCCAAGAATGGTGGTCAAAATAGGGCTTGCCAGTTTGTCATCCCCTCAGTTCCTTCTTGCCGGCTACTCCAACAAAGGGGTAGGTGGGTGGGTATTAGAATGGACACAAACAACATCTCAAAAGAACAACAATGATGGAAGGGTGAGTAACCGTTTTTTCCTCTTCGAGAGTTTGTGTGTGTCAATTCCAGTCAGGTGACTCCCAAGCCTAAGTCTCAGAGGTGGGGTCCGAGTTCAGGTGTTCACTTCCTGGAGCAAGGCACTACCACAGGCTGCATCATCTCTGGCCTACTGGGTAACTGCATAACATGCAGTGAAAGTATGCATGGAGGACCAGCTCATCACTCTGCCTATTTCCTGGGTGGAAATCTGCACCAGGCACACTGTTGAAGAACTTGTGCCCTAGTGGAATGTGCTGGGGGTGGGGCAGAGCAGACATCTCTGGCAGGTTATGGCACTCAGTGATCCAGGATGAAATTTTTTGAGAGAAGACTGGAAGACCTTTCATCTTGTTTGCCACAGCCACAAACCATTGACTGGACTTCCAGAAGGACTTTGTTCTTTCAGTGTACAAGGCGAATGCTCTGCAAATGTCTGAGGAGCGGAGCCTTCGCTCCCTTGCCACTTAGGAGAGAGCACCAGGATGAAGATGTTCTGGCTAATATGAAATTGGGAGACAACCTTGCAGAGGAAAGCTGGGAGTGGCCTGAGCTGAACAGTCTCCTAATCAAGCACTGTGTCTGGAGGCTCTGCTGTTAGGGCCTTGAGCTCAGGCACCTTCCTGGCTGTAGTTATCACTTCCAAAAATGCCACTTGGTACCAGACCTAGAGCAGGAAGCAAATTGCCAGAGGCTCAAAAGGCAGCCCCTTTAGTCTGCAAAAGACCAGATTGAAGTCTCAGGCCGGGAACTGGCTGTCAGATATGCAAGTATAGCCTGTCGAGACCTTTCAGGAAACGGCAGAGCACAGGGCTGGCAAAGACTCTGCACCTAGATAGGAGGTCAAAATGGTGGCTACCTGGACCCCTATGGATAACATGGACAGCCCCTGCTGCTGAAGATGGAGAAGGTGTTCCAATCTAAGCTCAATACACACAAATGGAGACAGACAGTCTTATGCCAGATTGAAAATCCCTTCCATTTGGCCAGGTAGGAAGGAGGGGAGCTCCAACAGATTCAGCCACGGAGCTTCCACAGTGTGAGGTGCAGCGATTCGAGGTGCAGGTGCTGGAGTCATTTGGACTTCACTGACATTTCCAGGAGAGATGTGTACCACTGTCGGTGGGGCCAGGCTTGAGCTCTCAATATCACCAATGCTCATACCGTCCATGTCTTTAGGGGCATCTTGTGAATGAGAGGGAGGGGTGGAAATATGTATTGGAGACGGCCTCTCCATGGGAGGAGGAATGAGTCTGCATTGGAGCCCAGGCTGTGATTCAGGACTTCACTGACATTTCCAGGAGAGATGTGTACCACTGTCGGTGGGGCCAGGCTTGAGCTCTCAATATCACCAATGCTCATACCGTCCATGTCTTTAGGGGCATCTTGTGAATGAGAGGGAGGGGTGGAAATATGTATTGGAGACGGCCTCTCCATGGGAGGAGGAATGAGTCTGCATTGGAGCCCAGGCTGTGATTCAGGAAGGAGCAGAACTGTTTGCACCTCCTGTTGCAATGTACTGTGAGCAAGTCTATTTGGGAAAAGCCCTACTGGTGGAAGATGGAGTCTGTGTGTAAGGACCACCTATGGCCATGGAACAACCTACTGAGATAGTCTGCTGACTCATTCTGTACTCCAGGAGGTACGATGCTTGAAGGGATAGAGAATGCTCTAAAGTCCCAGCTTGAGGCACAGGGTAGAGGAGCATGTACCCTGGTTTCCTGATACAGCACATAGCTGTTAGTGTTGTCTGTCATAACTGGTACCCCTCTGCCTGCCAAGCAGGCTCAGAAAGTCTGGCATGCTAGGCAAACCGCTCTCAGGTCTGACACTGAGGTGGAGAGCGCGTTCTGCCTGAGACCAGAGGTCTGGTGTCCTGAGGTCTGTCACATGTGCTCTCCAGCCCAAGGTTGATACATCTGTCACTATCAAGATGGATGGCTGAGGAATGGTGAAGGGTATCCTTGCACACAGTACCTGCGGGCGAAACAGAGTCACACTCCTGTCCAAATTGTCCTGGGCTGGCTGATACACTGAGGCCAGCCACAGCTGGAGTGGATGGAGTCTAAGCATGACATGTTGCACTACATACATAAAAGTGGCCAAGGAGTTCCAGGCAATTCCTTGTTGCGGGAGTAGGGAACTGCTCAAGGTTCGAATAACATTGCCCAGGGCATAGAACCTTGATTCTGGGAGGTATACATACCCTGGCCTATGTCAAGTCCACTACTGCTCCAATAAATTCTATGCACTGAACCAAGGACAGTGTAGATTCCCACCCTGTTCAGGAGAAGACCCAGTTCGTCAAATCTTGTTCTTATGAAGCTGCCTTGTGCCTCCACTTGAGCTCTGGAATTGCCCCTCATCAGCCAGTCATTGAGTTACAGGAACATCCTACACAAGCAGCAGGTACCGAACACAACCATGACTGCCCCACTAGGTAAACGCTCGAGGTGCTGCTGACAGGACAAATGGGAGGACTGTGAACTGACTGTCATGGTTGTTCACCACAAACCTGAGGTATCTGCTTTAAGACAGTGTAATGGCTGTGTAAAAAGAAGAATCCTTTAAATAGAGGGCAACATACCAGTTCCCTTGATCCAAGGAGGGATGGAGGAGGCCAAAGAAACCATCAAAACTTCAGTTTCTTCAGGAACCTGCTGAGTTTGCACAGGTCTAGGATGGGCATTTGCCTTTTGGTGTTAGAAGATACTGGGAATAGAAACCCTTACACCCTTCAGCTCCTGAGGAATCTCTTCCACTGCTCCCAGCAAGAGAAGTGAGTGCATCTCCTGTACATGGAGTTCTTGTGAGAACAGTCCCAGAAGAGGGACCAGGATGGAGGGTGGAAGGGTAAGAGGGCTGAAAACTGGAGGAGGTATCTCCTTTCTATGGTGTGGCGCACCCACCAGTGGTTTGATGTGATATGGGAAAAGGCAGGGTAAAAGGGGGATAGCTGGGATGAGAAAGTAAGACGGGGTCCAAACCCTGCTGTCTCCCCGCCCTATTACTGCCCCCCACAGTTATGGGGCTGCTCCCTTGGCCTGGCTCTGCAAGCCCTTAAATATGTGCTCTATTACTGCCCCCCACAGTTAAGGGGTTGCTCCCTTGGCCTGGCTCTGCAAGCCCTTAAATATGGCCCCCTCTTGTGGAGAGCCCCTCTCTCTCCCCCTGTGGAGCAGTCATCCCTCCTTGCAAGGGGGTGCATGTGTTCAGACTGCACACAGCACTAGAACTACTAGGGACAGCCCTGCCTGGTAGCCCTGGTGCTCACATTGGTTAGCTGCGCCTACCACCAGGGAATCCAGAAGTTGCTCATATACAAATGCTCATACCCATTTGAAGGCACAAAGCAGGGTCTTTTGTTTTGATTGGCTGTCTGTGGCAATGAAGCTGGGGTCTGCCACAACATCCTTGTAGTGTCAGAAACTGTTTTAATTAAAGGGCAAGCGGATGCGAAGTAAGAGTGCGAGAACGCCCACCACTGGATCTGCATCCTCCACCACTGCCTCAGCATGGGGACAAATGCTACAGCAACTGCTGGAAGACTCTGCTGTCCTCTGGTGTTGGAGCCACCAAGCTGCCTTGTCACCATCTCACCTGCAGGACAATAAAGGGCAGGCGAAAAGTTCCCTTCCCTCCGCACCCAGGGGATTTTGCGGCATCCCGAGCTGCTGGGGCACTGTGATTACCACTGCGGGAGCCAGAACCACTGGAGCCAGGGTAGACAGCGCTGGTGCTAGAGGCTGTGCTCCAGATGTTGGAATCTTGGCATTGGCTATTCAATAGATTCCCCCCGCCCAACCCTCAAAGCTGGTGCGGAGGGAATATGAAGGTAGCCAACACTATCAATGTAGCTCTGGGGTGGGACCCCTGGCTCCACTCTTGACCCTGAAGAAAGGTCCAAGGGCATCCAAAAGGGCCACTGTGCCAGGGGCTGCCATTGTGCAAGCCCTGGTGCTGGATATGGCTGATAGTCCCTTCTCAACCATGACCTTCCCCTTTTACTGCTGCGGGGCGAGTAGGGACCCATCTCTGACTCCAGGAAGGATGACCACAGAGGAACAGAGCTTCATGGTACCAACAGTTTGCGTTGTAGACTAGGGGAGCAACGTAGAGCCTGGACCTGCACCCAAGCCAGGAATGGTGCTCCAGGGATGGGGACCATTGTGGCCGGTTTCTCCCTTGAGGATGCCTTGGAAGCAGTCAGTACCAGCAACTTCTCTCATCTAGGCAAGAAGAATGGCACCATGGGATGTAGCAAGTCCTGCGCCTCCTCAAAAGTCACTGGCATAGATGGGAGGTGTGGCTCTTGACTTGTGGTCAGAGTGTGAAGCAGGTCAGGACTCAAACAGCCCCCCTCACCCCAACCAGGGCAGGAGTCAATGCAACCTGTTTAAGTGGTGAGGCCAAGGAGGTCAGGCTGGCTCCTTAGACTGGGGAATTGGCCCTCTCTGGTCTCTTCTTTTGCTGGCCTGGAGATTGCAACTGGTGCCTGCCTGAGGCATGGGAGCCACTCCCATGGAGTCATGGCAGTGCCAGGAGTCCTTAGTCGAATTCTTCCTTAACATCAATTCCTGTACCCATAGGGACAAG